TTGTACCTCCATCATGGTGTTCCTTCCTTTGATATTGTACCTCGAGTTTTGGATGACCTCATCTCAGGGTCGAGGATTCTTCTTGATCTCTGTGACGTGGAAAACCCACAAGTCCAGTTATACCATTATTGAATATCTCAGTCTTTTATCCTTTCATACCCTTCACGGGTCGGTTGTTCTTCCATCATTATACTCTACTGGTTTGTCATTCTCTCGTTATTCCATTCCATTGGTTGGTCATTATTTTAGCATTCTGCTCCATGGATCGATTAGTCTCATCATTCTAACCCAATCTAACCTAACGTAAACTTAATGGAGCCTAACACTGTTTTATCTAATTTATCCTAAACTAATATTATCTAACTTAATCTAACCTGACATTACGTAATCACTGTAACCTAACCTAACATTACCCAGCCTTATCTTACCTAATCTTTATTGTGTTCATAGATAACATCTTAGCTATGTAAAGCCATTAACCAACGTTATTGATGATTCGAAGACATCAATCATCAATACAAAATAGTACCTCAGATGCCCTCTCCAAACAAGAAAATTTGTAATTGATTTTATTAACACATCGACCGTTTCCCACCGAGGCAAGGTGACCAGAAAACGGAGAAACACTTTAATCATCATTCACTCCATCACTGTCTTGACAGAGAGGTGTCGATACTACGGTTCAAAAACTGTAACATATTTGCACCGCTCCTGAGCGAAGGCGCTGTACTTCCCACCTATGATTATTTAGTAAGGTTTAAACCCTATCGACTAAATGAGACATTAAGTCTGTCTCCTTTTCACCTAATAATGAAGATTAAAGTAAGCTATCAATGTATTTAATAATAATAGTCTTTATTTCTACAATTACATGTACGAGGTATACAGTCCTAGGTGACATCAATGACATACTACTATATAGAAAGCCGCTTGTTATACAGAGCATTTCCCGCAAATTAGGTCAATTTTGTCCCAGGATGCGACCCACGCCAGTCGACTAACACCCAGGTACCTATTTTATTGCTAGGTGAACATGGATAGCAGGTGTCTTAAGGATAAACGTCGTAATGTTTCCATCTATCGGGGATCGAACCACAGACCTCAGTGTGTGAGTTGAGCGCGCTACCAACCGAGCTACGGGACACTTCGAGATATATGTGCTCTTCTCGGTGTGGATAACCTGTGCATTACTTATTAAAGGCCTTTAAAGCAAGAACAGTAAGTTAATTCCCTAACCCCTCAAGAGAGGTTCCTTGATGCTGGTGAGGGGCTTTTGATCTAGGGAATTGAAGAACAGATCCAACTCACTAGATCAAGAGCCCTTCACCAACGTCAAGGGTTAGGCCTTCCATATCACTCCCCCCCATTTGCTGTATAATCCCATAATAATAATAATAATTCCCTAAGTAAAAACCATAAGAAAATATAAGAGTTTACGTCTCTACTTGTTTAATTGCTTTGATGGTAAACTTAAATAAATTTAATCTCCATGTCATTAAACCGAAGAAATTGAATTCCCTTGGGTCATTAAGCTAAAGGAATTTAATTGTCCTCCATCGTTATTCGATGATAATTTCGCTAGTTTGTCATTAAACCCAAATAATTTAAATCTCACGGATCATTGAAGAAAAAGAATGTGATTCTCTGCCTTCATTACAGCGGGGGATTTCAATTCTCTTGTGTCGTTAAAACAAACGATCTTAAACACTCCATCCATGGGGTCGCATGATGAGAGAGAGAGAGAGAGAGAGAGAGAGAGAGAGAGAGAGAGAGAGATGTAGGTAACAGCTCTTAGCTTGTCAATAAAGTTAGGAATCCTTAACTTGTAGACAGCTTGTCAGTAAAGCTAGGGATCCTTAAACTAACCTTGTCAAACCCTGTGTAAAAAGATGAGACAGGCAGACATACAGACGAAGACAGACAGGAGCTGATGTAGATAACAGCTCTAAGCTTGTAACTGAAGTTTCGAACTTTAAACCTATCTTTGTAAAACCACGTAGAAATAGAGAGAGAGAGAGAGAGAGAGAGAGAGAGAGAGAGAGAGAGAGATGGTATGGGAGAGAACTTGAAAGAGGTTATCGACTCCTCGTGACAACTGGGAAAGAGGTTCGGCCGACCATCACTAATCCCCTACTTGATGTGTACCTGGACTTGAATGGGAATTCAACTCTTCTTTGAAACTTGAAAGAAGAACTTAAAGAGGATTAACACCTTCTTGGCAGGTAATGCAAGGAATTCAAGTCGTCTTAAGATGCTCCAAAGGAGTGTTATGGAATTCAACGATTTCTAAAGTGCTCCTGCGAAATGTGAAGATATTTTAGCCCTTTTCTTCAGGTTTCAAATAGTGTCATTTAGAATAACTCTTCAAGAAACTCTGACAAGAGACAGTAAAAGTGATTTACCTCTTTATAAATTCTTATAGCAATGCAGAATTTGTTTTTCGTCAATTTCTAGGTTAAATTCCCCTGGAATTTAACTATTTTTTAGGTTAGGTTAGGTT